TTTATTTGCCACTGCATAATATTATCAAGCTGTCGACAGTTAGTCAATAGTGTACTAATACCGAATTGTTCATCATGTGAGTTTTTAACACTTGTGCTACCAGTATGGTGAGACATTCACTATTCTTCACCCTGGAGAGCGTTAGCTCGAAAAACTCCCACAAAGTTCCGACGATGGGCCTCCGTATAACTTCACTAGCATTCTTTCCGTGGCTATAACAGAAGAGTAATGAGGACATGCAAACATGAGAGAGGCGGCGCCTTTGCAAACTGTCTGGTTTTTGTTCACTGAGGAGAGGCGTAAAGGGTCATTCTGCATCACTCCTCACTCATGCACACGTAATTGCCACTCGCTCAAAGGATCAGATAAAAATGTTGTCCCCAGAGCTTCTCTGGCATGGGATCTTTCGGCCATGTCCGCACGAAGCGCACTAACTGGCATGCGATGTGAATGCCAGTGTATCTTTGCTCTTCATAATGTGACCTCGGGCTCAACACTGCGCTTTTTCTCTCCGTTACGTTTTCGGGCCGTGGCGTGGTTTTTCACTGCATCTCAACAGGTCGTATAATAAATGCATAATACTTTTGGCGAATTCTCAGTGACGTAAGGTTAAAAGTCGTGGCAGATGTATGTCATTGATCAGAAAACCTTAATTGCGGTATGCTAGTTCCGCCGAATGACTGTAAGTTTAACGCAGACGTCTTGATTACAGAAGGTATTCTGGGGCTTCTGACGTGCAATATTTAGATGCGTGTATCTAAATGTAGGAGATAGTTATCTGAGATACCACTGCAAATTTTATTGAAAAAATAGAAGTTTTGAGCGGCTGGTGGATTTTCTGACCCCATTCCCATCCCCGATGAGGTAGAGGATGTATTAAATTAGGGAAACCAGCCCTACGGTAGCATTGTTTACGGACATGTTTCCTCCTTTTGTATGAAATTGATTCGGAAAGAGAACCAATTAGTTTAATGCAGTTTCTGAAACCTGTCTGACGGGGCTACGAACATGGTTTTTATTAGAACGGTGTTTAATATCGACAAAAGAGCGCTTAAGATTTGGACCATGTATACTTTTAATTTTAACTTCGCAAACGGCATTCCGAGATCAGCACGCAGAGCAAAGACGAAAAGGTGCCGGCCTTTGCTTTCATCAATGTTTTTTTTCATTTGCAGTGTTTGTTTTCTTCAGGTTACATTAGCACAGAGATGAGCCTGTGTCAACGGAATTTCTACTCGCCATTTATCTCTGCACGGGGTCGGACGGCCATAAAAAGCCGGAATGGAGAACGTTGACGGAGCCACATCCTGCATGTATGCAGTGTGCCAAATGCTATCACTAGACCGGTAGGGTTATCTTGGGTTGGATCTGTCTAAATTCTCGTCGTAATGCTCTCCCCACCAAGTGATGCGAACGCAGAATTCCGATCCAGTCAGACAATATATTCCATCGTCCGCCGATCAAAGTGTTCTCTTGGAGGCTACAAGTAACTTCGAAAATTGATGGGGATGCATTCACATTAGCCGGGGTTGTGTACCTTGGACTGAAGGTCGGAGATGATGATGTACATCATCCTGCCTGTCCAGGAGTCTGACCTTAGAGTGGTCGTGATCGTAAGTCGAGAAAATGCGTAGGAAACGAGATTGATATAGCTGACGAGGTTATTAATTACAGCTTACCCAAAATTACAGAGTCTCACAACAAACATTACAGTTGGACATTCGCACTAGGGAGCAGCGATCGTTGCCCATATTCCTGAAGGACAAAGCCGCGGTCTGTTTCGTGCCCACTGTCATACACGCGCAACTAACCCTGCAGGTTGACGCACGCAACAACGACCACTTCACTGCGAGACCCATTCAATAATCGTCGACTGAAAGTGTATGTTACTCAGAAAATTTGATGCGAAAATTGCCTCAGTAGTCTCACTGACTTCGCTCCAAACGTTGCGTAGAAATCATCTATTTATTTTGTTCATATCATTTGACTTATATAATGACTAAGCATTTGGCGGACAATAAATGTATCGTTAGCCATGCAATGTGTAAATTTACTACCGTTACCGATGCATAGAAAACTTTTAAAATTGCAATCCAACTGAAACATCGCAGGCAGTGAGCTCGGCAAACATGATAAGTGACTCTCAGCTGGTGGTTTGTCAGAATATGGCAGAAGTCACTATGGGCAACTTAGTGGTAGCGTAGCAAATATCCGTCGGTAGGGCTAAAGTGCAAAATGTGTATTCTCACGTTCGAACATAAAGTGAAACCGAAGATACGCCCTTTCGGATTCCTATTGCACTTGGTACTTGTGTAACAGAGACAAGTAGACTTGTTTATTTTCAGAAACCCTAACGACCATTCTCTCCCTGATGAAGTTTGGTAGGTGCAAACGAGGACTTGAGAATTCTACAAATGTGCAGATAACGGTTCGGCTCCCAGAAGTTACTCAAAAAATCGCGTTTTTGTTGTAGGGTGCAACAATAGATGTATGTGGGAATATATTTATGAATGATAGTTAAAGTGGGGGTCAAATACAAATGACAGCCTCTTGAGCACCCAGTAAACTTTTCCTACCTTGCTAACCGCAGGCAACAATTTAACCTTCTCTCACAACTAACCTCAAGCTCAGCTGTAGCGCTGATGTGGACGGGATGCAGCATGGGGCATCAGACAAAAGCAGTAATATTAGTGAGTGGTGGTATTGACGATTACAAAAAGCGTTTAAAAATAGTGCTAATAAGAAACAGTATAAGGATTTACATGAAGATACACATCTTTCTCAGAGAGTGAAATGTGGTCACTATGTAAGATTTTGGAAAGTTTTTTATTGTAAGTATTGTCGGTACACGTGTTACGTATATAAAAATACTGAGGTTGTTCAATTTTGCAGAAAAATTCATTTGTTCTTTCCAAATGCCGCGTTTTTAGACGTTTTCTCGTATCCAGTATCACAGGATTTTTATCAATTGATTTAGAATAGCGAATCAATGGGGAAAACACGGTAGTTCAAGCCAAATCGAATTTCCAAGTTCAACAGAGCACACTAACACCGTCGACAGCGTTGTCAGGATCTCAATTTTCTCATCCCATTTGACCTAAAGCAAGGCGATAAAATAAAATTTCATGCCAACCCGTCTAATTAAGGTAGTGCGCAAGACGTGGTGAGATGGATGGGTGTTGTCGCGGAGTGATTACACGGTTGCGCGTATTCCACTCACATGTTTGCATCGAGTCGAACAGTCAAAACTACACGTCAACGCATGTGTGATGGTCACACTAAAAGCAAATATCGATGTATACCGCCAGACAAACTGACGTCAAAACAAGTCAGGCGCAAACGGTTGAGGCATATTACGGTCGATTTAGAATAACTCAAAAACTTCCGTTTTCACAATCAGTTTCAGCGTTCAGGAGGAACTTGTAAATTTGTATCCATGGACGCTTTCACCTGCTTACTTAGGCGACGTCCGTCCCAGGTGTCTGTCGACATTCTTTCAAGCTTTAAATTGGCTTTACTACTGATATTTCTGAATAAATACACATCCTTGTAGAGAAAGCACACATAAAAACCCTAAAGGTGACGACTGCTGTGATCATCTGCCGTTTTTGTGTTCGACTAGGATTTGCGAAGAGTAAAATAATATATAACAGTTGGCACCAGTTACTTTTGTTTATGCATCGGAATGAATGTGCAATAATTTGCGTTTTTTCGTAGAATATGGTCTATTTCAGGGAAGTTGAATCTTACTCTAATTATTTCCAAAATCAAATTATAATTGGCTGCATGTAGATGGAACACGTTAGGTAACATAGCAAGTCCTCTTGAGTTGACTTCAAACACATACATAAATTTTTACCTTTTTCCAGTGCACCAGAATCCTTTATTGCTGAAGGCACCTCAAAAATCCAACTTAGCGTATTTTCCAAAGACGTACTGAGGGTCAAACTCGATAGCTCTTTAATGTGGCCAAAATTTCATACGCGCACCAGTGTTACGGCTATTTTCTCAGGAGATGCGTGTACACCTTGGTTCTTAACATGCCTTCTTATGTCAACGGAAGCGAAGAGACGAGTCCCAGGAAGCAGACTTAAAGAAGGAGACACGATCGCTGGGACGACAGTTTTATTAGCCTGACGTTTCGGATTCCTGCTCGAACCCATCATCAGAGACGAAAGTAGATACGGGTGCTACATGCCCAAGTGGCTGCTGTACTTACAGAATGCAGTCGCTATGCTACCGCATACCTATGAATGTTCACCTCTCTCCCCCCCCCCTCTTTCATCAGAGATCGTTGCACGTGGTGTGATGACTGTTTGATGACTGGCATTTGCGTCGTTAATTGCTGCAATCTCATCATGTACGTTGGATGTTGGTGTGATGATTACTCGACCATCTGATCCACCGACGCTGGCGTTGGGGAAAATGTTCACCTGTGCGCTTCCCGCGTGGTTAATTACTCCGCCTAGGCAAAGTCTCAGCACGGAGTATGGACGGGGAAGATCACTGCACTTGTTAATAGACTGGGGGTCAGTATACCATGACTTAAGCAGCTCTCGGCTCACGCGGTTGTCACCTCTTGCGAGAATTTCGGCCTCATCAAATTTGAATGTGTGGCCGGAGCTCGTCGGATGAGACCTGGCGTCATTTCTCCGCACCGCTGCCGCGTGTTCGGCCATTCTCGTTCGGACCTGTCTTCCGGTTTCTCTGACGTAGTTGCTTTGTCCGCAACTGCACCAGATCCGATAAACGACTCCAGACGTTTCATGCCGTGACAGAGGGTCTTTCGGTTTCATCAACTGACGCCTGATGGTTGCCTCCGGCCTGTGTGCAACTCCAACCCCAAGTGGTGCGAGAAGGCGGCCTACAGCTTCCGAAACGTTCTTGATATATGGAAGCGTTCGCCAAACTTTGGTGTCCGTGCGGTTAGGCCTTTCGTCCCTTTTGCGTATGCACCGGTTGACAAAGTTGCGCGGATAGCCATTGGCTTTGAAGACCCGTCAGAGATATTGCAGTTCAGCAATCTTGTCTTCCGGCTCACCGCAGTGCGTTTCGACACGCCGATAGAGCGTCCTTACACAACGGCGTTTGTGGCTGATTGGGTGGTTGCTGTTGAAGTTCAGTACTTGCATCGTATTTGTCGCTTTCCTGAACACTTTGGTCTTTAGTCCACCACAATCCTTGCGGCATACGAGGACATCCAGGAAGGCCAGCGGGCTTTTCTCTTCCTCCTCCATCGTAAATTGTATGTCTGGGTAGACCGCGTTCAGATGTTCCTTGAATGTCAGCAGTTGATCCAGGTCGATAACGACGAAGGTACCATCCACGTGCCGGGCCCAGAGCTTCGGTCTGTGGTGATGGAAGGTCAGCAATTCTAACCGTTGCAGGATGGCCTCGGCGATGAATCCCGAAATCGGCGAACCCATTGGTGTGCCCTTCACCTGTTCGTAGATTGTTCCGTCGAACGTGAAGTACGTCCTGATACAGAGCTTCAGGAGCTGAAGGACTTGGGCGTGTCCAAGACGGTTCTCCGTTTCAGCGTATTTGCTTTGTAGTAGCAGCTCAATTGTCTCGATCGCCAGGTCCTGGGAAAGAGAAGTAGGAAGGGATGTAAAATATACCATGACCTCATTCGGATGGAAGCTTACCCCTTTGAGTTTCTCCATGAATTGTGTTGATGAAGAGACCATAGTGTCTGACTGAACGGTTTGGGAACTTGAGACGCCGGAACAGCTACTTAGCCAGTCCGTACTTTGGAGTCGTTTTGAATGACACGATGAGTCGTAGAGCAGCGCCGTCTTTGTGCTCCTTATGGAGACCATAGAATTGGGCCAAAGCCATATCTTGGGGTCTCGCCATGAGTCTGTCAGTCAGCGTAATTGCACTTGAGTTCTCCAAGGCCAACAATGAAGCATTAATTTTGCGCGTCAGCTCTTTTACAGGGTTCATTGTAAATGGGACATAGAATTGTCGGTTCTCCAGTAAACCTTTGGCTTTTGAGGGTAGTATGTCCTGTCCAATACAACTGTGGCGCGTCCTTTGTCCGCTAGCACGATGACCAGGTCTTTGTCGGCCTTGAGTCCTCTAAGCGCATCACGTTCTACCTTGGAAAGCACTTCCCGCGGCCTGTGGGTCATTAGTAGAGACGGCACTTGGTGTCGGATGAGGCTCTTATTCTCCTGCGTTGCCTCTGTCTGACTAAGAATTGATTCCACTGCTGCAATCATGTGAAAAGGTTTTGCGTCAGCCGTGTTGAATGAAGCGTCGTGCCGTAAAACCTGTATCCGATCCTTCGTCAGCTCCTTGGACGACAGGTTGGGCACCGGTTTGTCTTTTCTTGGCGACGTTTGATTAGGCAACTTTCGGAATTTGTTGTCCAGTGCTGCGTTGCGTATCATCCTCTGTTCGCGGGCTTGTGCAGCTACCCTCTGTAGGAACAGATTTGCACCGATCTCGCCCATGAACTTACAGCATCTGGTCTTTTCTTGGCCAGCACTTTGGCGGTACTTTCGAAGTCTTGCGTGGCAGCCTTGGAGGAGCACTCGGATCATCCTTCTGCCATGCTGAAGTACTGCGCGTCTCGCCAAATCCGTGTTAACCGGGAGCTTGTATGAAACACATTTCGGTAACACATTATTGTGCAGACACCTGTGCAGAAACGGGATCTGCGAATACGTGGAGACCTCTCGAAGAGCGAAGGTTTCCCATCACCGGGCCGATCAGAGCGCATCGCGCTTCGGGAGGCCTCCACGTATACGCAGATCCCGTTTCTGCACAGGTGTCTCGACAATAATGTGTTACTGAAATGCGTTTCATAGAAGCCCCCGGTTAACACTGATTTGGCGAGACACACATGTTCCTTTTCCCGACAATCGATTTTTTGACGGGACCGTTAAGGGAAGGATTAGGTAACGTTCTGTTGATTATTTAAGGTTTTTGTAATTTTCTTTACTGAAGGTGTCAAAATACAGACGACTTCGGAGAATTGCCTTGACTTATGAATGTGTCTTTCGTTTAGGAACCTTTCCTTCATAAAGCCATTTAAGGTGTGCACATGGATTGCCAATTACATTTGACGCGAGCTAAGCAACAATATCAAAATAGACATCCTGGAAATGAAGAAAAGGTAGGGTCTAAAATGTTTCATGTATTTAGAGGGGAACGATAGAATTAACCGTATCAAGGGCATTTCTATTAAAAACAACCGAATCACTGTACAGAACCTTCTCATTTCACATAAAAAGCTCAAGTTACCGTTTCAAAACCATTACAGGGTCAGCCAAGCAATACTACGGCAGTTGCATCTGCATTTAGAACGTCTGTTTGACCTAGATGGCTTTCTAAGCATGTGGCAGCTGAAGGTGCTTTTTACTTTCAGAGTACGAAATCATAAATGAATCCCTTAAGATTAGTCAGAATCTTTGTAGTGGCTGTATGCGAGAAACAGAAAATAGTGCCATGCATGTCAGGCGTAAGCAACAAAAGTTGGAGATCATTGATAAGTGTTCAATTGTTTAATGCAATGCAATGTGTCAACAGAATATAAGTTAATTCAGGTCATAACTCGAGGACACTGCATCTTTTATATTACTGGTTTTGAAATACGGGACTTTTTGGATGTTGTACGCAATTGCCTGCACAGCAGTGATAATGTCATCAGGATTAGGAATAATTGTAGGTTGTGTATTTTCTAAAAGTTTCGAAATCTATCATACTGTATCGCCCATCCAAAAGAATTTCATTATAGCAATTGTCTACGTATGCTCCGCAACATTGATGCCCATATTTTCTCGCTGGCACAATTCTATCCATGTCCGAATTTTGGTTTCCGTGAAAAAGAAAAATAGTCGTCTTGTTTACTGCCACCCTTAAGACCCTCTTACTTTTTATTTACATAAAATGGATTACTTAGTTAAGAATGTCAGAATTAACGGCGTTATTAACCCTATCATCTATCAGTGCTATTGTGTGGCATGGAGTAACTCGCACTTACTGTAGGTCATATAATTTCTTATGATGTTTCGCTGCGCATTTTTTCGCTGAACTCCTTTATTAATCCGAGGGAAACGTTCTTAACGGTAGGGACGCTTTTCTTTCTATCAATCAGATACCACCATTAAATTGTCATGAGTTTATAAATAAATAGACGGAGATTGTTAGTTTAAATTTCTCATACTGCGCGTTAAGAAAAGGAATGAGAGGGCAGTGGATAGAGACAGTTCGAACAAACGGCACTTCAAGATAAGCTAATTTCTATGATCGGGTTGCAATCGGTCAAAAACAGCTTCGGCGTCGGCACGAGGTTAAAAGACCAATATTTGTAGCCTGACTTCTGTTGTCAGCAAAATGACAAGACACCGCTATTAAAAATTGGTTCGACTGAATACCATATAGCGTATTCCGTACATGGACATGGTTATTTTCTTGTATCTCCTTTCTGGGTCCTTGGTGGATTATGAATTCAACAATTTTGTGCAAAAGTCATTTTCTTGTTTACTAAGCAACCCTCCCCTACGGAAGCAGTTGAAAGTACTAATGCACTCAGGTTTCAGTGATACAACTTCTTTAGCGCTGCTCACGGCTAGAGACATTATGATTTGGACTTTGATAGACCGCTAAAATCTCTGATTTGGATGTGGGCTTAGGTGTTTGAAATACTTCACCTTAACACATGTTGCAAAGAAGGAATAGGCGTGAGTAAGGGATTTCGGAAGATTGTGAGATTCATCAAGTTCTGATTCTAAGGCAAGGTGACTAAGCTTACCTAGTTTTTTTCGCTCAATAACGAAATTTTTCGTATGGCTACTGCTAAAATACAAACCGGTTAAAGTTCATTTGCTGCAGGCGGCAGATTGTTTCGCAAAAAAGCTTTGTCCGATATTACTAATTTTTTCAACATAACAGAACATTTAAAGGTGAAAAATATCTTATTTCTCTTGCTTTTGTTCTAGGCTTTCTTTGTACATCTGCTTTATCCAACGATCTCAGCAAAGAATGGCGGCTGACTATCTCATGTTTCTCACTTCTAAACACTTTCCTTTTAAATGAGATTTATGCCGGAATCATAGGTGTCTGCAGAGTTGACTTCCAGAGTTGAACCCCATTTCCTTCAGTAGGGGTTCGTAACTCAGGTTTTCTGTTTTTAAGAAAATTTCAATACGTCCTTGACTGACATGTTAGTGAAGAGTGACAAAACAATCGGTTAGTTTGGATCTTTTCTATGGGGCTGACTTAGCATATACACAAGAAAAGGACTGCTAGATCAGATGGATTTTTACGCACTGTCCAGGTCTATATCTGGTACACGTGCCTACCAATGCCTAAATCATGGTAGTTGAAGGAAGATCCGCTTATCCAATAAGCACCAGCAGCCGCCTCCTATGCCACTTTTCTTGCTGCCATGTCCTCAGAGAGTATAAGGGACGATGGGGTTTAGTCCCCTACGACCACGCAGTATTTTCAAGCTTATATACTAACGTCACTTTAGGCCATCTGTGTCGTCGTTTCAAACCCGTCTGTGTTATTAGAGAGTGTTCATAGTGGGTTTAGGCAAGATGCCAAAGGCTTCGTGGAACAAAAACTTAGATTCTGCAGTTTTGAGTCGACTTAGTCTTTAATAACAACTTCGTCTTGTAAAAAACCTATCCATATACTTTTGGATACATTACGAGATATCCAATTGCCAAAACGCAACCTTCATCAAAAAGGTAACTGAATGCATATTTTACCAACCAGGTGATCTCTTAGAGGTCTATGTATATTAGCCGCTGTAATATAACTCAGACATGGAAATCTGACCGTACATCGTACACCTGGTAGATTTTTGGAGCACTGAGCGTAGAGGCTTACTGTCCTTTAATTCAGTGTTCTCACTGATACTCAGGGAACTTTTTTAGATATTGTATGCAGAGTACAGGGTTATTCTAGTTGCTTGCTTTAAAGTTGGCGGTGAGACTGTCAACGCTTCCTAAAAGTGGATTTTGCAACTACAGGTATTGACCGGTCTCACGAAATGTTAACAGGAATTCAAAAATAGGTTTGCTATTAGGAAAGATCACTTAGATGGGTGTCATATTGATCATCTTGGGACGTAAACCCGCGATGTCTAAGATACTTCAAGGTGTTAATTTTAGAATGCACTTCTTTTGAGTCAACTGCAAAATTACATATGATAAAAATGCTTACTTAAGTAATATGCATTTTCTCCATCGATTTTCGGTGCCATTATAAATTTAAATACATTTTATAGAAAACCTCCATAAAACTATCATTTCTTTTAATAATTTGGTGGAAGGCCATATCTTTCCCGAGTTTTATACTTAAAAAGTCAAGTGGGCAAACACGTGTTTTAGGTAATTCTTCGTCATGAAGGAATAAAAATGGACAAATCTAAAAGTGTTTACAGATGTCCAAAGAGCTATTTATTCATTAACACTCGTCTTCCCCACGCCATCTGCATGACGAGGTCGGTGGGTTTTGGTCTTCAGGGCTCGGGAAGGGGGATAAGAGAGCCTTTGAATTATGTTCTTGGATTGAGTACATTTAGGGAACAGTGTCTTTAGGATTTAAGAATAGTTTTTGATGCCCGAATAATTTTAAAGTCGGTCTGCCGTTGCATTTTCCTTTATGGTTTTGTTCTTTCAGCCGTACAATTTCCGTGTAAGGAGATGCACACTCCGTTATGCCATAAAAATACTATCTGTGGCTCAACGAATGTGGACCATATTCTTTACTTAATAAGGAACACTATTAAGCAAACAGGTAAGGTACCATTCGAATGGTCATTTGGCGTTTCTGGAAACCGAAAGCCACCCTTTTCCTT